CCCCAAGAATGTAACCCTAACTACACTAATTTCTACAGATTCTGGATACACGCATTAATAAATATGAAAATTTAATTCTTATTTGATTTTAATTCTTTGAGCGTCACTTGATCCCACGCTCATTTTCAAACACATTCTTCCAGACATTCTTTTTCATGTTCACTCATAACTTTTTTGTATTTTTTAATCACACATTTACGAAAAAATATTTTTCAAAGAATCACTTCTCAAAAATTCTTTATCAAACAAGAACTTAACTTTGGGTCGATGGTGGTAGTTAGGTAGTGCAACCAAGATGGTCACGACTATGGGCATTACAGGCTGTGAAATCAATTAGAGACGACGCTCACAACATGTTTATGAAAATTTTAGAGCCAATTCAGTTTTCCAAATTTGCATACCCGTGAAAATGATAAGAGCTAGAAAGTGACATGATTTAAGATTTTTTATATTTATTTTTATTCATTTATTTATTTATTTTTATAATTTAAAAGTCACAGAGTGCGTAGTTGACGTTTTTTAATAAGATATCTTTAACGAAACTTACAATGTGCTGGTAAATATATCTTAAACTAATATTCAACAATTACTTTAATTTGTATTGTTTTAGATAGAATTAAGGTATGCGTTAGAAGGTGACATGAGTTGCCATTTTTTAATTAAAATGTAAAACTCGGTAATTGTAACATCTTTGGCTAAGGTTAACGTGAATAAGAAATTATTAAACTAATATTTAACTATTTGTTTTATTTTTTTTTTGTCTTGTTATATGTGAATTAACTATCTATATTAAAGAATAAAGAGTGAACTTTTTAATTAAAAGATTTCACCTTTTTATAATTTGGTTGATTCTGAATGGTTCATTTTGTTTCTTTCAATCATCGAGCTTGATTGACTCGAATCTCTTTTCTAACCCCGATCTCTCACTACATTTCGTTCTTCACATGTACCATTGCTTGAATGAAGACAATACGATAAGTTGACTTTTCCAAAATGCTAAGGTAATCAGTGTTGTGTTGACTTATGAATTACCAATTTGTCATCGATCATGCTATGATATTTTTAAATTTTCTTTCAATCGATAAAATGAGGTAATTTTGTATAAAAGAAACTGATAACACCTCTAGTTCGTACGCCTCCGATTCCTAATGTTGACAATGTACCTGGTTTTGATGTCAAATGAATTTGACTCTATAGAAGGTAATATGAATCTTTGTGCATCAGCCTTGAAACAAAGAGTAGATAATGTACTCAGCCCTCTTCAACAAAAGGATCAATTCTGCAACTACATTGAATGGGCTTGTATCTTATTTAAGAAGACTTAAAATACAATGTCGATGCAATCAAATTTCATCGCAAAGTGCTCACAGTTTCAGCAATCATTGTGAATGGTATAATCGAAATCTTGTACTAAAGGTCAGGGTTGATCCTTAAAATTTTGAAGCTCTGGCAACTAATTGTTACAAGGTTCTTAAACCTAATTTTTTTTATAACCATAACGATAATCAAATATTTAAATAAATGACATATTTATATTTAATGAAGACTTTGTAAAATCTAGAAGATAGAATGGCAAAATAAAACATCTCACTATATTGCACTCATACTTTCATATTTTTTCATTATTATATTTTCCAATATATTTTTAGAAATCAAGCCTTTTTTATTTTAGTATTATTTTCTTCTTGTTGTTAATAAATCGAGTCACCTAGTATGTGGTTAATTTATTTGATAAAAAAAAAAGAGAGATGGGTAGAAACCGACACGAATAACCAAATATATTGTGCTACTAGTACATCAAGGATTACTTAATTTACGTGTGGCACTATGTCATTGGTTGGAGGATTTTTTTTTCTCAACCAATGACAGAATGGTATATATATATATATATATATATATATTAACTCTTGATGTAACCCTTAATGTACAAGTAGAATAATTATATCCATGAATACCCACAACTTCATCTTCTCTCTCAAACAAAATCTCTCTCTAAAATATTGAGTAGGATTTTTCTGCTATGTACATGCATATACATATAGATATATACGCACACAGTGTTGTATATATATAAAGAGAGAGAGATTGATTCTTTCTCGATTCATCTAGCAATGGAAGCACTGTTTGCAATGTCTTTCGTAGTGGTGTTGATATACTCCCACTCACATATAATGGGCTTTACTCGAAATACGACTAACAACGAATATTACACTTTAGATCCTTTTCAAGATCTATATAAAAAAGATTCATACAACAAATAGATATCATGACCATCGAATACATATTAGAGTTCACGGTACTATAAACATATCAGGGGATACATAGTAGCTCTATTGGAGGAACATTACATCTCTTTATACCCCAGACTCATTTTTAATATTAATTCAAGTATTTCAATTTCCTCGAATATTAGTGGAACATACTTGAACTCCACATTGTATCCTTGTATGACAATTGTGTTTTACACCCTTAATGGTTAAATACAATTGTCCGATCGGTAAATACAAATATAAATGCTGGTTAAAGTAATTTTATTTTCCTACTCGAATCTTTCAACTTTATATTAGCTTCTTTCCAAGACATGTTTCATCCAATCGAGTCAATTGCAGTTGTTAGTAACATGCTAAAGTAACAACACTGAAATAAAACTCGAGAAATAGTCAAAAGTGATAAGGATATATATGAGGTTATATAAACCTCATCGTGTCACATAATAAGGAATTAGTATCAAATCATTCATTTACCCAATATTAGTTGTAAAAGTACATGTGGTATGAAACACGTGCTACGATATTTCTCTCTTTTTAGGGCTGTCATATTCTTTTGAAAATAAATAACACAGTACCTAACTTGAGTTCTCCTTAGATTCTTTTTTTTAGGCAATCTCAAATTAAAAACTCGATCTGGCTACTAAGCAAGTTTATTGGATAGCAAAAATTCAATTTGATTGCTTACAATAATTTCATCTTGAAAATTAATTAAGGCGACTGTATCATATACATAACACGATCACTTTGTCTAATCTTTGTATATTTCGAAATCATATGAGACGAGTGTTTTTACGACCGAGCCAACTTCAACCTATTCAACATACTTTATATGTACATACAAATCATTATCTTGTAATTCCAACAATAGATTACACATGAACTTAAAATTGTTCATTTATGGGCATACAAACAGTGGCGGACCAGAGGGGTCCTATAGGGTCACGTCCTCTAGTTTTTGTAATTTTCTTTAAAAAAAAATCAAAATTGAAGCCCTAAATTGGCAGAAAGCACTCTGTAGTCTACAACGTCTCTCTATCCCACTCCGCCTCCAGCACAGCCACAAGCCACAAGGCTCCCACTCCGTCGGTCTCTCTCTCCCACTCCAGCACTCCCCACAGCCGCAACCGTAGTCCACGACTGTAACCACATGCAGCACGCCAACACTGCTTCTGCGAGACTGCGACGCAGCGACTGCACAGTCTGGTTTCCTTGACCGTGAGTGACAAGTCCGTGTTCGATGTCCCAGTGTCCGTTTGGCGTCTGTAATCTACTCTCAGCTCTGTCATACTCCGACACAGACAGTAGTGACTAGTGAACACCAAATTTCTGCTCATCTCTCAGACTCTCATCGCGAGAAGCTTCACCTCTTGGCTCAACCAACTGTCAACTAGTGATGGCAATGGGCAAAGCTCGTGATTTTTTTATTTTTTTTTTGTGGTAAATTTGCACATTTTGGACATTTTTTTAAAAAAAATTAATATTTTTTGAATGGCTCATGGGCTCGACGAGCAGGTTCAGCTCGTGGGATTGAGCCCTTGCTCGGCTCAGGCTTGTCAAGCCGCCCAGAAGCCGGGTTTTGATGAGCCGAGCGATCGAGCCGATGAGCCGCTCAGCCCGTTTGACATCCCTACCGGCAACCACCATCTACCACTTTCTTCTAATTGTAAGTCCTTATTATGTTAAAATCAATTTTCATCTTTAATTATAATTAGCATTGACGTTTATATTGGGATCCTTGTCAAATTAAACCCTGATTTCATATTCTTTTTACCTAATTATTAATACTTTTATAAAATTTTAAAGCTGTCTTTATAATTTGTGCATTCGAGTAGAGCGATTGATTCTCTGTGTTACGATGAAAATTAGTTCAGAGTACAACATGAGCAGCACTGCTATTACAGAATAAATTTAATACTTTGTTTTGTTTGATTACAGGACTGCACAAGCCACAAGGGAAAAATGAATAATAGCTTCTGCCGTCTGCCATCTTCTTGAATCTTAAAGTTGAAGATGTGTCCATCCTATTTGCATTCTTGATTGAAATTGTGATCGGCTGAGTTAGTGATTTGGTATTAATTATTTTTTCTAATTTTTGATTTAGTTTCCGTGTAAGTTGTAACTGTGTTTTTGATTTGGGATTTTTTGATTTAGGAATTTAGGGATTTTTTATTTAGGGCTTTCTTATTTATATGTGAATTGATTTAGGAAGAGTGAAACGTTGTTTGAATTTTGGTAGGTATGATTTAGATTCTTAGAAGAAGAAACCGATTTATGGATTTTTTTATTTAGGAATTTAGGGCTTTTTTATTTATATGTGAATTGATTTAGGAAGAGTGAAACTTTGTTTGAATTTTGGTAGGTATGATTTAGATTCTTAGAAGAAGAAATTGATTATGGATTTCTAATGTTGTCGATTTTTTTGTTTGTATCAATCATGGAGAAATACTTTAAACGTAAATCTACGCCTTCCTGCGATGAGCAAAATATCATTGAAAGGAATGATCGAGAGAAAAGGGATCAAAATAATGTTGATATTGATGTTGGGGATGTTGATGTTGGAGATGTTGGGGGTATTGGAGATGTTGGGGATGTTGGGGGGTATTGGATATGTTGATGTTGCACAGCTTCCCTCAGATCCTGGATTAAGAGTTCCAATATAGAATTATGATGTTAATGTTTGAGACATGATTTGAAGAGCATATGTGCAAAGGGGTCCTTGTCAGCCTCGCAATCATGCGTTTCCACCAACAAGAATGGGTAACAAAGACAGGCGATTTTGTATTTCGTGGTATACTTGGTTGGAATATAGTATAGCAAAAGATGCAGTTTTTTGCTTTTACTGCTATCTTTTCAGTTTGAGTGGTGGTTCATTTGTTAAAAATGGATTTTCGAATTGGAAAAAGAAAGAATATATTAGAACACATGTTGGGGCTTTAAGTAGTGCACACAATCAAGCTCGGGTTAAATAAGAATTGTTCAAGAATAAAAAACAAAGTATTCTAAATTGTCTCATTAAGCAATCGCTTCAAGCTCGAACATATTATCGAATTCGATTGAATGCGTCAATTGATTGTGTTAGATTTCTTGTACGACAAGGGTTGGCAATTTGCGGACATGATGAATCTGAAGATTCAAACAATCAAGGAAACTTTCTTGAACTATTGCATTGGTTGTGTGATCATAATGCTGAGATTAAGGTCGTTGCTTTGACGAATGCACTCGAGAATTACAAATTAACATCACCGAGAGTGCAAAAAGATATTGTAGGTGCTATTACTTCTGAATGTCTACATGTGATTATCAAAGATGTTTGTGACAGTTTCTTCTCAATTTTAGTTGATGAATCTCGAGACATTTCAGTGAAGGAGAAAATGTTAGTTGTCATTCATTATGTGAATAATGGGTGTGTATTGGAACATTTTATTGGTGTCATTCATGTTTTGAGTACCACAGTTGCCTCATTTAAAGTTGCAATTGATCAATTATTCTTAACACACAGTTTAAGCATATCTAATTTGAGAGATTAGGGATATGATGTAGCTAGTAAAATGCGAGGTGAGTATAATGGCCTTAAAGCACTTATTTTGAAAAAAAACCCAAGTGTTTACTACATTCATTGTTTTGCTCATCAACTTCAACTAGCTCTTGTAGCTGTAGCACAGAAACATCCAAAGATTGAAAAGTTCTTTACTACAGTACACAAATTGGTGAATATTCTTGGGGGATCAGCTAAACGGAGTGATCTTATTCGAGTGAACCAAAGATTGAAAATTCTTGAATCACTCAGTGTTGGTGAAATATCAAACAGACGGGTCTCAATCAAGAAATTACACTTCAGTGTCCTAGTGATACACGTGGGGCTCTTACTATAGCTGTTTGATTAACTTAATTGTCATGTTTCCAACCATAGTCAACATTATAGAGATGATTGCTACTGACACTACAAGTACCAGAACAAGAAGTGATGCATGTATTTCATTGGAGATCACGTTAAGGTTTGGATTTGCATTTAATCTACATCTCATGAAAAAGATTTTGGGGATTTCAAATGAATTGTCTAAAGCTTTACAAAGAAAAGATTAGGATATTGTCAATGCTATGAGATTGGTGTAAATATGTAAAGCTCAGCTCCAAACCATGAGGGATGACGGATGAGATTCTTTTTTTTGGACTAGTTTGTTTGTTCTATGAAACTCATAATATCAATATTTCCAATATGGATGATATGTTCATAACTCTAGGTCGTTTACGGCGTGAGACAGTGACAAATTTGCATCATTTTCGGGTGGAAATGTTTTATGCCGTCATTGATATGCAACTTCAAGAGTTTAATGATCGTTTTTTTGAGGTAAACAGTAACTTGCTCCTTTGTGTTGCGTGTTTGTCTCCAAATAATTCATTTGCTGCTTTTGACAAGACAAACGTGCTGCGACTATGTCAGTATTATCCGATAGATTTTGATTCAGTAGATATCTCCAAACTTGATGATTAATTAGATACATATATTCTTGATATGCGCACTTTCGAAGATTTTGAAGGATTACAAGGTATTAGTGATCTTGCACAGAAGTTGGTTGCGAATAATAAACATGAGATGTATTCATTAGTCTACAAGCTTGTGACATTAGCTTTATTTCTACCCGTGGCTACTGCTACAGTTGAGAGAGCATTTTCTGCGATGACTTATGTCAAAAATCGTCTATGCAATTGAATCGAAAATCAATGGTTCAATGATAGTTTGATTGCCTATATTGAGAAAGATGTTTTTGATAAGATTGAAAATAATGTACTTGTAGACCGTTATCAAAGTATGAGAACACGTAGACAACAATTCTAAGAAGATATCTCGTACTTTAAATTTTTCATTATTTTTTTAGAAAGTTTGATTGTGACCCCCTAGTCTGAAATGTCTGCGTCCGTCCCTACATACAAATCTCAATCAAAAAATTTTTTGATACACTAATTGGCATATTCTATGTAATTCTAGAGATTTAACATTAACAACATGTATATCTCTAATGTATAATGATTACATATTATCATGTGCGTAGACCTATCGCAAAGATACTTTCTTTGCTAATATCTTTTATAGAAATATAATCAATATTTGATTCCATCATGATATTTGAGATTCTCCGCACATGAGATAGTTGTATAACTATCATAGATCTCATATTTTCAACCAGTATTATTGGATGCTCAATTCATTTATACTAAACAATTTTTTCAATCTTCAAGATATACTCTATAAGATGTGTTTTTTGCTACAATATATAGCAATGGTCCATAAGTCTAATAACTATTTGTGCTCGACTAACTCTCATCCTTTGTTGGAATGTACATATCTATTCCAATCACCAGTTATTCCATCGACAACAAATAGAAAAACTAGAACTAGCACCTTGCAGGTATAACAATACCATTTCTAAGAATAACATTGATACATACTGATTAGATCCATGTCATAACAAATTTTAAAACAAGTATACATTATAGTATACTTCTAACTCATAACCATACTTCTAGCATACATTATATGGTCACCTTCTGATATAGGAATACCAATATGGTAGCAATTCTACAGTTATAAATATTCCAGAATCTTTATGGTATACATCTCTTATGACATAGAAAGAAGACTAATAATCTTTTTAACATTAAATATACAATTTGCTAAACTCATTTTCTTCGTCTTTAAAATTGGGGACAATCATTTCAAAATGTCTCAATACATTCATTCTCATGCTTAGCCAATACAACATTATCAACATCAAAATTTGAATTACAACCTACCATCAGAACTTTACATAAGTGCAGTGATATTCATTTACATAATGAAATTTTGCACGAGATTTAACCTTGTTAAAACTCAAGTACCACTATCAAGATGATTTCATTGGGCTACAAGTGAACTATAAATCCTTCAACATGAAACCTACAAGTTGATTCACGTAGATCTCTTCAATCAATCCTCAATTGAGAATGAAAATATAGTTTCTAGGTCTATTTGCTGTAACTTGAATTTAAACACATTATCATGACTAGTATCAGTGTACTAAACTGAATCCCACAATTACGAAAAAGTTTATATAACTCAATAAACTCACATTGAGTACAATTTTTTTCCAAAAAATAAAAAAGCTTTATCTATCATAAACTCATTAGTCTTCCGCTTAATTTTTAAGAATTTGAATGTTCTCATTAAATATAATGTCGATTAGAACTTCTACCAAATCCCATATTAGGTTGGAATTTGTACTACGAGTATACTTCCATAACTTTTTCTCAATTTTTCTCTTTGTACTCATATATGTAAGGGGGTTATTGCACCAAGAATCATTATAATAAGAATAATTGAAATTATATTGCTCTCACTCGGATACAGATTACTTTATATACACTTCCATCATTTTCTTCAACTTTTCCTTTTTGTACTCATATGAGTAAAAGATTTTCTAAACCAAGAATCATTGAAATAATAGCAACATTCTTTAACATGAATTTGGGGTCAAAATTCTTACTTGAAAAATGAATTCCAAAATCTTTTTTGAGTGATTGGATCACATTACTTTCCAAACTTCAAAATATTTATTTTCTTGCACTACAATAATCTCAATCTCAATTACAATGGAAGTGAATTATTAGCCACAACCTAAGTGCCAATTTTTTTAAGATTTCGTACCAAAAATATGGTTCTAGTCACTTTTCTATTTTGGCTCCAATTTCCATACGAATTTCAATAGCTTTCTTCTCTAGTCCTTAACAAAAATTAGGAGGTTACAGTGAGTTATTTGGGAGTAGTAAAGAGTTAAGGAAAGTTATGGATTTGCACAGAATTCAAACCATTTCCTCCGATCCACTTTTGATAGCTTACGGGTCATGGGTCACCCAGTTATCCCACATGGGTGACCTATGACCATATTTTCTAATAGTATGCACCAAAAAACTTCGAAACACTTGTTGGAGTTTGTCAATTTGCTAAGATGGAAGAGAGAGATAGGGACAAGGTGGTGGACTATGGTCACTCGCTGCAACATTTGAAGAAGTATTTGTTGCGACACAACCTAAATAGGGGAAAGGAAATAATGGACACTAAATTCATTTTATTTCTGAAACCTAGGCCATTGCCTAGGTGGATTTGGCCCAAGATCGGGCATGTAAAAAAGTCCATGCTCTCCAAGGGAATGAGGTTACCACTTTTATATGCTTTATGAATACTCTTATCGGAAACAGAAGAGACAATAGTCTTTAAAACTTTTGTGGGATCATAATTAACGAAATAAAAAGTGACAAGGTAGTGGCAAAGCTATTCGAATCGAAAATGAAGAATGTGGTGGTAAACCGATAAAGTACATTATTTGATGAGGGTATATAAGTCGATGAGTTGATGGCTATTATCATTACCTGTTGAATAATCGACCTCTGATGATGGATTTTTCGGGCTCTGTTTCACCAATCTCAACCTTATTAAACACACCCAACAATGGCTCTAACCAAACAAGGATTCTTACTTCAGTTGCTATAGTCAATGTGTTCACAAAGAACACAATATGGTGGTTGCAATGAATCACCAAGAATAGAGGAAGACAGATTCAATTTTAAGGCTCAAGAGAGAAAACTAGAGAAAATGTTGGCTGCCTCTTTTCAATTGCAACACACACGGCTCATTCAACAAAACGAGGGCAATATATAGTTTTAGGGTGTAATAATATAGTGGGCTCATGAACCAACTAATGATTAAAGGGGGCGGAACACAAATTGAGCCATCCAAGAAGTAAATGGGCCGTGAGCAACATTAACTATATTAAGTTGCTTCAAACGACCTTCAAGTTGTTTTTCGGGTTGAGCCAATTAATCGAGTGTGTTAATAAATATTCCAATCATCGGCCGAAGCCTATGAAATCTAATCCGACTATCCGACACTGTTTAACATCATCGCCCGGGATTATTGGGTATAAAAAACCCAACAATCTCCACCTTGATGCCCCATAATCTGCAAGTAACCAAAACACAAAGTTTGAACTTGCACAATCAAGGTAATCCAATAGAATTGGTATCTCAGACCTTACCTCGTGTTTCGAACCGAAACACACACCATACTTGCTCCATGTACTCACCGGCGCTAAGGTCCAAAAAACATCCAAGTAGAAACAAGTACTTACAGTGAACAACTAATCATGCGATAAATATATTATATATGATACCTCACACAGATCTTTTCAAATTCACGTTCACACAGAACCACCGATTAACACCAAGTTAATCAGCACACGATCAAATACATTTGCAACAAATGCATAAATGACCTCACAAAAAATCTTGCCACACTTATCCTATCCCATTTAGTGTTATTCCCACCTCGAGAACACATTTCTCCTCTCATCGCCCACCATGCTCACTAAATAGATCACACAACTCATGTCAAAATGACAAGTCACAATAGATCCTAAGTTCAGGGATAATCCTCTATCACCATATCATTTCTCCTAACCTACATGGATATTGGGACTCCACCTTACAGAAGTGATAGAAGTGCCTCTCTCGCACTGCACCTGTACAGGATCTCTTTCACAGATAAAGGATTCTGCACATTTGATCACATCTCCACTTTTGATCCAAATGTCACACTCCACATCCCTCGGTACAAATCACCATGTACCCCTAGGCATCTATACTCCACCTTACCAAAAGACATCTAACACACTGCTAATGCATCCTAACCCACTATGCATGCAAACGATCACACCAAGTAATCACATTACCTCAAATTCATGCAAACACACATATCAAACAAATTGAAATGCAACATATAGTCATGCAACAAATTAGGTAATCACACACATACTGAAAGGATCACACACAGATGCATATGCAGTGACTAGGTTTACTCTCTCAATAAACCTCACTGGGGTCATAACTCGACCCCTCAACCACATTCGTCTCACCTCTCACATAACCCTTCTGCTATCCTTCTTCTTGGGACAATCCCTAATAAAGTGTCCAAACTTACCACAACTATAACATCGTCTACCACTAGACTTGTCCCGTCCCTTTCCCTTCATCTTAGCACATTCATCACTCGAGTCACTACTCGAATCACCACTATTTTGAGCTCTACCCAAATTCATTTTCTTAAACTTCATCCCACTCCTTATCATGTGTAACTCACCACTCCTTTTATCTTCATTTTTAGCCTTCATTTCCTATTCCTTACTCCTAAGTGAGTCTACGACAATCTCGGGAGTCAATGTATCCCTACCATACTTAATGGCATTTTTAACTTCCTTATATGACTCAGGCATAGAATTAAGCAAGATTATAGCCTTGTAGGTTTCAGATACGATTTCTTCACAGTTAACAATATATTGGACAAGTTTATTAAAAACATCTAAATTATCATCAAGATCCTTTGAATGATCCATTTTAAAACTGAAGAAACGCTCAAGAAGATAAATTTTATTGGGAGTGGATTTAAACAAATATAGATCTTCC